CCAGGAAAGCCACAGAGATGCTCCCCAGAGCAAAGGATCCTAGGTGTCCCTGGACGTAGCAGAAGGCAGTTGGCAGAGGCCTCACTGCATCCAGTGGTGATGTGTGCAGACGTGGAGTATGTGCTCATTTCAACGAAAGGAGAAGTGGTCTCAAGCAGACCCCACAGGTAACGACGTGGATCAAGGCACAGATGGGAAGGACCGCCAGGTGCTCCTGATAACATCCCTGCCTCCTCCTCTTCCTTGGCGCGGTTGTCATGAGAGCCAAAACCACAGTGATGATTTTAGCCGAAGCAGCAGAAGTAGCCCCAGAGAACCCAGAGGCGAACCTCATCTGTGGAAATACGTAGGTGCCTTTGTTGGGAGGGCCGATGGGAAGGAAGAGGGGAAGCCGGGAAAGGAGGTGAGCAGAAGGTAGCTGAGAGTTGGCTGTTGGCCTTGACAAAGGAATGTCTTGGTGCTTCACAGCGACCTCAAGAACCACAGCCATGGGGACAGAGACGCATAGATCTGGGCATGCGGAGCTGTCCCCAGTGGGTCTTGGTAAGCCAGGAGGGTTGCTTTTTTTTGGGAGACAGTGATCTTGATTTGAGTGTGAGCGCTGATGATATGGTAGGAAATTTGTGCCTGATTTTTGCTGAGTGGTCAGTGGTCCTACCTCGGCTCTGGAAGGGACTCTGGGCAGCCTCCTCAGCACAGTGGCCGGGCTGGTCTGGAAGATGGGCTCTCCCTAGACCTCGGCATCGCAGGCTCACGTGGAGCCTGCAGTGGCTACAGCATTCTGCCAAACTCAGCTTCGTCCGTCGGGCCAAGAGGAGCAGTGATACAGAAGCTCAAGGAGAAAGCCGCCTGGCTTTCTTTCTTTTTTTTTTTTTTTTAAAGATTTATTTATTTATTCATTCAGAGAGAGCGAAGAGAGAGGCAGAGACACAGGCAAAGGGAGAAGCAGGCTCCATGCATGGAGCCTGATGTGGGACTCGATACTGGATCTCCAGGATCACACCCCGGGCTGCAGGCGGCATTAAACCGCTGCGCCACCAGGGCTGCCCCCGCCTGGCTTTCTAAGGTAGAAATCCCTGAAGGTTTGATGGGGTTTGTTCCGCTGGTTGGATCCAGGACCCTGGAGGACAGGGCTGCGGACTGGCTTCCTCCTGTGGCTGGAAGCTCTGCTCAGAGTTGGCGTAGTTGTTCTATTAATCAAACTAAATGAACTTGGCTAGCATGTCAGTCAGATGAATCGGGTCAAGACTGACTTCTTCTAAAGCCTGTGCAAGAGTCTTTCCAGAAAATGATACCATCTTTCTCCTCTGTTTTACTTTTCTCAGTTCTGTCCTCTGCCTTCTTCATATCCTTCCCTCTTCTTTTATTTTTTTTTTCTTAAAGATTTTATTTATTTATTCATGAGAGACACAGAGAGGGAGAGAGAGGCAGAGACACAGGCAGAGGGAGAAGCAGGCTCCATGCAAGGAGCCCAATGTGGGACTTGATCCTGGGACTCCAGGATCACGCCCTGGGCCAAAGGCAGCCACCCAACCTCTGAGCCACCCAGGCGTCCCTCCTTCCCTCTTCTTGAGATCTACATAGATTCAGGAGCTGTCCTCCAAGACAACCGTCTGGAGCTGGTGGGATCTGAATGGGGCTGCCATTGTGACCCATGGGGGCATGGACCACCCATCACTAAAGCCTCTCAAGGTACCGGTGATGTTTATTATTAACTATAGGCAGAGGAGCTGCAGAGCACCTGGAGGTGAAAAGGCTGTGGGAAATTTCCACAAGCACCACACCCTTGTCATGCCCTTCGCTTTGTAGGCCAAATGGAAGCATTGGGACAATTAGGAAACCCTAAAAAGTTCCTGGTCAGGAAGTGGTCTTGGAAAAGGGGGAAGCGTCTAAGCTTAGCAGCTGACATAGTCTGTTTTATGTTGGCTTAGACAAGCTGAGCTAGTTGTCTGCTAAAAGGGGGAGGAAATAAGCCTCAAGTGACATCAGCCCTGCTTTGAATGGGGTGTTATTTAGGACTTTCTTATCGAGCAGTGTGCTTGTGCTATAGGCAAACGCTCCATTCATTCATCCAACAGTTAAGTTTTGTGTCTCATAACATATTGTAAGAGTTGTTCCAGACCCTAGGGCTGTACCAGATGCCAAGGCAGCCAAAGTTTCTGCCTTCATGCTCAGCCCGGAGCCTCCCTTCATGGTCTTCTCCCATCTCATTTCTCAAGTTCTCTTAAAGCTGGCCTCCAGCCCAGCAGGTGCTTCATCCTGGTGACCCTTTCATACATTAGAGAGGAGGAGGCCTGTTGGCTCACCTCCAGGGAGTGAAGGTTTTCAAAGGGCAGCAATTAGGACTATTCAGATCTCTGAGAGGACCCCACACCGATGGCACAGAATGGAGCCAATGGGCTTCAAGGCCCAAGTCATCCTCTAAAGCTCTTTGTGACCTTGAACAGATGAATCCTATGTTACACATCTGTTATTTTCCAGAAATGAAACCAGGTTCCATAGAAACATGCTGTTTTTTTGGGGAAGAGAATTCCAGTAGAGCTTTAAAAATGACCAGTTACATCCGTACAAGTGGACGTGAAAATGTGACTTTATATATCAGTCCTACAAAAGTAACTTCATTCTGCTTGTATTTATATGCATTACAAAAAAGCATCTAAAACATTGGTAACCAAAACACACCAATCAATAAGAATCCCTTTAGTACAGATTCAGCCTAGAAATATGATAGAGCCCAACAAGTGCTTGGGTATTTCAAAAGATAGACATCTTGCTGCACCTGGGTGGCTTAGTCAGTTAAACGGCCAACTCTTGATTTTGGCTCAGGTCATGGTCTCAGGGTCCTGGGATCAAGCCCCGTGTTGAGCTCCATGCTTAGCGGGGAGTCTGCTTGAGGATTCTCTCTCTCTCCCTCTGCCCCTTCCCCAGCTCATGCAAGCCCTCAAACACTCAGAGCTCTCTCTCTCCCTCAAATCAATAAATCTTTAAAAAAAAAAAAAAGACACCCCTTTTTGATACTCAGGGACAGGACATTTACAAATGGTTTCACTTCTCATCACACCCATAATAAAACCCTTCCCATGGAAATGGGGTCTCCAAATCTAAAACTCTTCTTCCCACTCATCTATCCTTGGCTGTGAGTTCATCATTCTCTCTGATGAGTCATACACATTGCGCTGGAGACCAGCATGGAACCAGCCAAGATTCCTTCCAAGTCTCTACCCCCATTTAGTAGATCAAACGGGCATCAACGCATGAGATGCCTATTTTTACTATCTAAACAGTGTCCCAAGGAGCTAACATTTGAGACTGTCTGGGCAGTGACTTGGGAATAGAATTCCTTCTCTATACTACACTCCATTTTGAAAGTACTACATCCACCAAGTTTCTTGAGTGACCTTCTACAACTCACCAAGCCAGTTCCCTTGTACCTCTCCTGAGTAAGCCATCACTCATGGACACGAGGCAACAGCTGCCCAGAGGAGGGGAGAATGGAGGACTGTGGGCTTCTCTTATAAATTAAGCTGTCTAAAGATGATACATTCCAATTGCTTTAAATTTACCATCACCCTTGAACGAGGGTCTGGTGGCCTGATTCTAAACCATGTAAGCTTCAGGTGGTGGAACTGACATTTTGAGGATGCACCTGGCAGATTTGTGAGTGACCTAGGGAGGGAATTGGGGTAATAGGTTTTAGTGGGAGTTTCTGGGTGAGTAGGACACCGGTTATAGAATGAAACTGGGGTTGGTGGAAGTTGGGGAGTGGGTGTGGAGACGCTTTCTGGAAAAATCTCCTTAGAAGAAAAAAATGTTTTGATCTTAAAAGTCTAAATGTAGGAGCAGCCTTTAAGTGCACTCACCAGACAGCCTTTGGTAACTCTGAAATGTTTTCACTTGTAGAAGCTTAGTGATCTGTTCAGTTGTTCACCCGTGACAGTCACTGTCTGTTTGCCTCCCTTAACCTACTACAGGTCAGGTACCATACTCCATTTATGAGGAACTATATTCGAAGTCATGATGAAGATGACTTGAATGATTGACCAGAAATGATTGACTAAGGTCACCTAGCTAGAAATATGCACCATAAGCTCTCTTCTTGTGTATTCAGATTATATGAAAAGTCAGCCCAATCCAGTAGGTGCTTTGTGGCTTCGGAACCAACAGCACCAGCTTCCTGGTCCTTGTGAAATGCCTGTTTACCCAGAACTTTCTTCTGACCACCAGGGCCTTCCTCCAGGGAGTAAATGGTCCTACGGACCTGCTGAGAGAAACGAGTTTGAGAGCAAAGTCTTTGAAAAACCCTTGAACACTCTTGGAATACGTTAATGGTGACTTTATTTCTTCACCAAACATTTTGACCCAGGATCAGATATTGGTAGCACATTTGCAGGTGGGATTGTTCTCAAGAGCCCAGCTTATCCGGTTCTCCTGGAGATAGAACTGGGAAGGGTCAGTTTGCAGAATTTAGTCCCCGGGGTGCGCGGACCCTGGGTGGTCTCCTCCCAGGAATAAGCACTCACACCAGATGTCTTGGACCAGATGTCTCAGACCAACGCTCTCCCCTTGAGCTGTAGCTTGACATTCTAGACCATTGTCCAAAATCTGGGGCCTCAGGTCCTGGCCCATATTACAGGGGATGTGGATGGCTTCGCTCCCAAAGAACCGCCTTGCTTCCTGATTGAGACCCTGAAATCCCCTTTAATCTATATGATTCATGACTTTGGGAGTAAGAGAAATCAACTCCAAGCAGCTTAAAAGAAAGGAATTCATTGCGTGAACCCAACAGCGCCTCTTGGAGCCCAAGGCCAGAAAGCAGCCAGACTCCTGGAAAGGACCAGCCCGGGCTAGAAAGCTGCCCAGGACCCAGGAAGGTGCTTTTTTCGGCCTCCTGTGTTCTTTCTCCAGGTGTCTGTTTCTCTCCTACTTCTCTCCTAGGGGTTACACCTCTCTGCTTTCCAGGCACAGCAGTGGGGGGTGGGGGTTGAGGGTGGGGGGCAGTGGCAAAGCAGTCAGATTTCCATGGTGCTGGTTCAGATACATGGAAGAAAGCGGACTCTTTCTTGGTCCCACCCCACCCTCTGGGGAAATGTCTGCTGCATCCGCACAGTGCTCTCTTGGGCCCGAGTGAGGTCAGGACTTGGTGGTTCAGTCATGGCTGTCGTTGGGGGCACAGATTTGGAGAGGGATAGCCAGGAAGAACCTCTCTGAGTTTGGTCCTGAGCAGACGCTGCTCAGAATAGTGAGGGTGGGAGTGTGACTGGGCCCGGGCCCGGGCCCCAACAAGGAGTCTGTTGAGGTCCTGTGGGGGCTTGCCATTTGGTCATAGTCTCCTTGGATCTGTGGGGACTGTCATTAGTTTATACTCAGTACACTTTTCACTGTTTATCTTGGAAGCCACTCCTCCTCCATTCCGTGTAGGCCTGAGAGAAATCATGCAGTATTTTTCCCTTTGTGGTTGGCTTGTTATTATTATTATTTTTTAAGATTTTATTTATTTATTCATGAGAGACACAGAGAGGCAGAGACATAAGCAGAGGGAGAAGCAGGCTCCCCGAGGGGAGCCTGATGCGGGACTTGATCCCAGGACCCTGGGATCGCGACCTGAGCCAAAGGCAGACACTCAACCACTGAGCCACCCAGGAGCCCCTATTATTATTATATTTAAATAGGCTTCATGTCCAGCATACAGCCCAAGGTGGGGCCCAAACTCACAATCCTGAGATCAAGACCTGAGCTGAGATGAGGAGTTGGATGCTCAATGACCTGGGCCACCCAGGCATCCTTGTGGTTGGCTTATTTTACTCAACATGATGTCCTACAGGTTTTTTCACATTGTATACTGTGCCTGATATTCCTTCCCTTTTCAAGGCTGGATAATATTCCATTGTACGGATGCACCACATTTTGTACGTTTTGGCTCTTGTGAAAAATGCTGCAAGGTACGTGGGTGTACAAATATATCAACATCTTGTTTTCGATTCTTTTGGGTGTATACGCAGAAGTGGGATGGCTGGATCATATGGTAATTCTACATTTAATTTTTTGAAAAGCCACCATACTGTTTTCCACAGCAACTGCATGTACTGTTTCATATTCCCTCTAACAGTGCATAAATGTTTCCATTTCTCCAGGTCCTCACCAACACATTTTGTTTTCTGTTTTGTTTGTTTGTTTGTTTCTGTTTTTGTATAGTGACCATCCAGTGCGTGTGAGGTGGTATCTTATTTTGCATTTCCCTCATGACTAGTGATGTTGAGCATTTTCGCATGTACTTTTTGGCCATTTGTGTATCTTCTTTGGAGATTTCTATTGAGTTTCTACTTGAATATGCCAGTTCATCTGTTTTTGAACAGGGTTGTTTATTTTTTGTCATTGAGTAATAGGAGTTGTTTGTATATTCTGGATATTAGCCCTTTATCACATATACGATTTGCAAATGTTTTCTCCCATTTCATGGGTTGCCTTTTCACTCTGTTAATTGTATCCAGTGATGTACAGAAGTTTTAAATTTTTATGTTGTGCGATTTATGTATTTTTCTTTTGCTGTCTGTGCTTTTAAGGTAATATCTAAGAAATCATTGCCAAATCTAATGTCATAAATCTTCCCCCTTATGTTTTCCCTCTAAGAGTTTTAAAGTTTCAGCCCTTATGTTTAGGTCTTTGATCAATTTTGGGTTAATTTTTGTATATGGTGTGAAGTAAGAGTCCAGCTTCATTCTTTTGTGTGAGGAGATTCAATTTTCCCAGGACCATTTGTTGAAAAGACTGTGCTTTCCCTCATTGAATGGTCTTGGCACCCTTGTCAAAAGTCATTTGACTACATCTGTGAGAGCTTATTTCTGGGCTCTCTATCCTTTTCCTTTGGCCTATATGTCTGTCTTTATGCCAGTATACACTGTTTTGATTACTTTAGCTTTCTAAAAAGTTCTGAAATCAGGAAATGTGAGTCCTCTAACTTTATTCTTCATTTTCAAGATTGTTTTGGTTATTCAGAATTCCTTGAGATGCCATATGAATTTTAGGATGGATTTTTCTATTTCTATAAAAAACACCATTGGGATTTTTATAGGATTGCACTGAATCTATTGTTTGTTTTGGGTAGTATTGACATCTTAACAATACTGAGTCTTCCAGCCCATGAACGCAGAATGTTTCTCCATCAATTTGTGTCATCTTTACTTTCTTTCAGCAATGTTTTATAGTTTTCAGTGCATGAGTCTCTTGCCTGTTTGGTTAAGCTAGTTTCTAAATATTTTATTCTTTTTGATGCAATTGCAAATGGAACTATTTTCACAATCTTTTTCAGGCAGTTCATTGTTGGTTTACTAGAAATGTAATTGCATTTTGCATGTTGATTTTGTATTCTGCAACTTTTCTGATTTCCTTTATTAATAGTTCTAACATTTCTTTTTTGTATGTTTCTGGAATCTTTTGGGTTATGTATATATGGTGTCATGTCACACGTCATCTGTGTCAACCTTGCCTGATTGCTCTGGCTAGGCTCAGTACTATGTTGAATAGAGGTGGTGAAAGTGGACATCCTGTCCTTTCAGAACTCCATTGACACAAAGTTTAGATACTTTGTTATTGCCCCACAGGTCCTGAGATTCTCTTCCTTTTTTAAAAAAGAAAATTATTAGAGTGTCCAGCCAGCTTAGTTGGTAGAATGTATGACTCTTGATCTTGGAATCATGACTTTGAGCCCATGTTAGTCATAGAGATTACTTAAAAAGAAAAAAAGGGAAACTGTTTTTCCTTGTTGTCCAAATTAGGTAATTTTATTAACTGTCTAAGCTTGCTAAATCCTTTCCTCTGTATTTTCCACCCTACTGTTGAGCTTATCCAGTGTTATTTTTGTTGTTTGTGGATTTTAGTTATTGTATCTTTAATTTCTAAAATTTCATTTGGTTCTTTTTTTATATTTTTCATGTCTTTGCTGAGATTTTTAAACTTCTCCCATTTGCTTAAGGAGTGCTTGTAATTGCTTGTTGGAGCATTTACATAACTGCTTCAAAATCCTAGTCTGATAATTCGAACATCTGTGTCATCTCTGTACTGCTATCTGCTGATTATCCTTTTTCAACTCGGTTGAGATTTACTTGGCTATGTTATAAGTAATTTTGGATTATATCTTGGACATTTGGAGTACAAGGTTATGAGACTCTCCCCTTTTTACAAATCTATTTTAGCAAGCAGTCAAGCTATTTATATTAAGAACGCATGTCCTGGCTCACTTTTGTGGGCTATGTTTTAAATGTCAATTACTTTTCAAAGCCTTTGCCGTGCTTTTGTGATCTGCTACTTGTGTGCTACTCAGAGGCCAGCCTGGAATCTGGGCAGGATCCCACACCATAGTAGAGCTCTCAAAGCTTTTGCTGTGTTGATCCTGGTCAGTTTTATAAATGTGATGTATCCAGGACTTGATATTCAGATTTAAAACATCCCATTCTGTTGTGAATTTGTTGTATCTCCTCTTCCTCCCCAACCCCTAAAATTCATATGTTGAAGCCCTGAGAATTCATATATGGTTTTTGAAAATGAGGCCCTTGGAAGGTAATTAGATTTGGATAAGATGAGGAGGGTGAGGCCCTCATGATGGGATCACTGTCCTCATAAAAAGAGGCCCCAGAGATTACTCCCCACCCATTCCTCCCATCCCGTGTGAGAACACTATGAGAATATAGCAGTCTGCAAGGCAGGAAAGGACCCTCCTCAGAACTGACATGCTGACACTTTGATCTTGGACTTCCAGCCTCTAGCTTCCAGGACTATGAGAAAATGGCCCTGATGCTTCTCTGCCCCTTTCTTTCCAGTCCCAGAAAAAGGGACTTGCCAGAGCACCAAGGCCTTAGCATAGACCTTCTTGCCTCTCAGGAGGCATCTGCAGATGCTCCTGTCTGGCCTTCCCACCTCTGTCCTCCTACCTTTCAGTGCAGGGTAACCCTCCAGGACCAAGGCCATTGTGGCCCACCCCTGCCAACACCCTTCGGTGGCTTCCTGTGCCCTTGGGAGAAGCTCCAAGTCTCCTGGCCAACAAGACCTGGGAGGGTGATTTCTGCAGACTCACAGCTTCTCCTCATTCCCAGTCTCACGTTACTATATGTATTCCCTTAAGGCCACCAGGACCCACCATCCCTGTATCTTACCTTCATCAGGGTCACATTTATGTTACTAGCCTTTTCTTAAGCCCTCCCTAGACCAGGATGGGCCCCCTAGAGGGTGGGCAGCTTTGCCTACTATGGCTCCCAGTGTGAAAGTCCTTTATGCCCAAATACCCTTCACTTTTCTGCTGTCTTCTCAGACTGTGGCCTCCAGAGCCTGTGCTTCTGGGTTTCTCTGCAGTTCTCTGGTTGCCTAGCACAGTGCCTGGTGTGTGGTCAATGGGTCAATGAACGAATCTTCACCTGCATTTGGATCCCATTGTAGTTCATGATGGCAGGCCTTTGCATCTGAGAGTCCCTCACCAGCAAGCCCTGACCTCTCTTCTTCCTCTATTTAATTCCTATTTTCCTCCTACTCAACAAAAATTCCTCTGCCATCACAACACTCTCGCCTGAACCCAGCTGGAATTTGTAGTGTATTAGCTGAATTGAATCCCACATTAAGGGCAGCCCCGGTGGCTCAGCGGTTTAGCGCCGCCTGCAGCCCAGGGCGTGATCCTGGAGACCCGGGATCGAGTTCCACATCAGGCTCCCTGCATGGAGCCTGCTTCTCCCTCTGCCTGTGTCTCTCTCTCTCTCTCTCTCTCTCTCTCTCTCTCTCTCTCTCTCCCTGTGTCTCTTATGAGTAAATAAAACCTTAAAAAAAAAAAAAAGAAAGAAAGAAAGAAAAAGAATCCCACGTTAAATGAAACCATAGAGGGAGGAAGGGCTCTGAGACCTCTTCACTGAATCAAGTGAGCATGGGACCTGGGGAAATGCTCTCCAACCCTATTCGCCTTCTGGTGGCTTCCATTGCCTTAATGAAGCCTCTTGGACTCCCTGAGGATGTGGATGGAAGCACCGTCTGGCACACCAGGGCACACAGAGGACTGGAACTACACACGTGCCACTGCCCAGAATTGCCTCTGCCTTGCTGTGTGTCCTGGTGACATTGGTCCTGTGCATGTAAGGCCTGCAGCCTTCTAGTACTTTACATGGTCTCTCGGAGCCCTTGTCCCAGGTGGAAACTATTGCCAAGGCCCCATTTCAGTTTATACCTTAGGAAGTAGCAACCCTACCCTGGGGACCCAAGACATGGCTGGGGAGTGACTGTGACATTTCAAAATCCAGAACATGTATATGGCAAACACTTTGTTGGGGGTGGCCAGATATACTTCAGCTGAGCTGACAGAGAGCTAGCCAGGGCAAGTGTGTGGGAATTTGAAATAAAGCAACGAAACACAGAGCGTGCAGGTCTGTGGTGGCAAGGCAACCAAGCTTTATTAAAATTATCCTGATATGATTGAACGGTTCTTGGCAAACATGCTTTGAGGAAGCCAATTAAATTCACATGAAGGAGAAATAATATTAAATCAATTTCTTGACAAACATTTTTATGACTATTTACAGTATAGCTATTTCTGCAGATGGCATTTTTCTTCTCACAAAAAGAAAACAAGAGAAAGGATCATGAGACACTGTTTCTAGGAGAGATGCGAAATGACACTGGTGGGCAATGTTAAAGTGTGACCATGAAGATCAGGTCCTTCCCTGACAACCCCCCTCCCAGCATGTGCTTAGAATTTAAAATATGTAGATTTGAAAATTAGAAGGTAATTGTATGGAGATAAAGTATGCTACATGGATGCTAATCTCATCTTTAGAGGCGCTCAGGCTAATATCCTGGCCCCCACGTGGAGGTGCCTGACTTGGCTAATAAGGCCCACTTGGCATCGAGGAGGACGTGCGGGTAGATCTGTCACGGGTCAGGGTAGTGTGACATCTGTCTGGCATAGCTCAGGGACTCGGGCATTTGCACTGATTTCTACTGGCAGAGCCACCTTAGTGCTTTGAATCCTCTTGTGTCAGCGAAGTGAGAAGCTCCCGGCCCATGTTTGCCCGCTTTTCTGTCTCATCTGGATTGTTCCGCAGCCTCAGCTTTGCTTCCAGTCTCTGCCTCCATTCCTCTCTGAGCCTGAAAATAGAAACCACACAGCAAGCAGAGCACCCATGTCCATGGCATTTGGCTCAGGGATGCTTCCTTCCTTTTTTTCCCCCCTAAAATGTGTGTGTGTGTGTGTGTGTGTTTGTGTGTGCATTTAGGTTTTAAAAGGTATGTGGGGGGGGGAAAGGTATGCAGGGGGACACCTGAGTGGCTCAGTGGTTGGGTGTCTGCCTTCAGCTCAGGGCATGATCCCGGGGTCCTGGGATCGAGTCCTGCATTGGGGTTCCCTGCAGGGAGCCTGCTTCTCCCTCTGCCTCTGCCTGCTGCTCCCTCTGCTTGTGCTCTCTCTCTCTGTGTCAAATAAACAAATAAAGAAATAAATAAAATCTTTAAAAAAAAAAGGTATGCAGAGGACTTGAAATTTAAATATATGCATACTTTATACTTTATAGGTATATATTTAGCTCTCACTTCTGTTCAGGCTATTCTAATATTAATCCTTCTAACTCTTCCTTTGAGAAAGCAATGTATTTAAGATACAGGGAGAGGGGATCCCTGGGTGGTTCAGTGGTTTGGCGCCTACCTTCGGCCCAGGGTGTGATCCTGGAGTCCCAGGATCGAGTCCTAGGTCAGGCTTCCTGCGTGGGGCCTGCTTCCCCCACTGCCTGTGTCTCTGCCTCTCTCTCTGAGTCTCTCATGAATAAATAAATAAAATCTTAAAAAAAATGCAGGGAGAGGAGCCCTGGCTGGCTCAGTTGGTGGAGCACGCAACTCTTGATCTTGGGGTTCAAGCCCCATGTTGGCTGTAGAGATTACTTAAAAGTGAAGATATAAAACCTTGAAAAAAATTTACAGGGGGAAAAAAAACATCTGTCCATCTAGAATTGTTTGTTCACTTGGCAAAGTTATTTTTCAAAAACAGGTGAAATAAAGATGTCTTCAGCCATACAAAAACGGAAAGAATTCATCACCAGCAGCCTGTTTCTATGGGACACGTTAAAGGGAATCTGCCAAGGGAGAATGACACCAGATGGGAGATTGGGATCTGCATGATGGAGGGAAGGGCACCTGAAAATGCAACTGTGTGGGTATATTAATAATTTTCTCTCCCACCTTGAATCTCCTTAAAAGATAATCAGTGCCTGAAAGCAAAACTGTTAATGGTGTTGTGTGGATCTGTACAGAGGATCTGTACTCTGCACCAGGGCACAAGGGCCAGGTGGGGTGGGGGGGAGAGTGGGTTTGTGCCATTGTGAGGCTCTCCCACCTATAGGAGACCACGTGCCGCTCGATGGCATACTGCGACAAGGGTCGTAAAGCAACCCCTAAAATAACACCAAGAGATACTGTGAAAAAGCCAGCAGAGGAGATGAAATGAAATCATGACAAATATTTAATTCACCCCAAAGAAGGCAGAAAAGAAAGGAACGAAGAACAGATGAGAGAACAGGGGGACAAATAGCAAGATGGCAGATTTAAACCCAATCACACCAATTAGCATCAATGATGTGAACCACTCAATTAAAATGCAAGATTGCCAAATGGAATAAAAAAAAATATTGAAATAGGTGTTGCCTGCAGGAAAACCACTTTTTAATATAAGACAGCAATAGGTGAAAATTAAAAGAGTGAGAGGTTGATTGGACACTTAGATAGTCAGGGCCAGGGTCCCCAGTGAGAAAACAGGGAGCCGGGGCAGCTAAGACAAAACCGGCCTAGCATGCTGTTTTACAGCTTAGACAAGATCACAGTACCATCCTGTCGAGCAGCCTCTGCAGGAGTGACTTTTGCAAAACATCCTGAAACAAAACAGTTAACCACAAAACACTGGTCACTATCACAAGCTGAGGCTGACTCCACACGTCAGCCCAAAAGACCAGCAACCTGTGAACAATAACCCGATAGGTAGACAGGTGCGGGATCAAAGCCCTCACTGGCACACCTGAGCAGCCAGTCCACAGGGGGCCCACACTCACGATGCTTAAGATACTTCCTCGAAAGAGCTTGTTAAAACTCCTAGATTTGAACCCAAAACGGCAATCCTCTCAGGTCCCCTCCCTCCCCGGGAGCTTTATACTATCCCTCATTAAACTTCGCTTTGACTGCCCACGACTCCTGCGGGGAGCCTGCTTCTCCCTCTGCCTAGGCCTCTGCCTTGGTCTTGGTCTTCGAAGCAGCATGACCAAGAGCCACGGACGCTAAGGGAACAAAAGTCCTGTAACTAAAGGATGGGAAAAGACTCCATCTCAACCCCAATCAAAGAAAGCCGCGTGGTCATAGTAATGTCCCACAGGATGGATCTCCTAGGCAAGAACATTAGCAAAGGAAGACGGTCATTGTGCAGTAAGGGGGTCAATTTATTGGGAGGATATGATATATCAAGAGAATATCCAACATTTGTACAAAAATGCAAGAAATGAAATGAGACAGAGCTGTAGGGAGAAACACAAATCTGTGTCGAGGGAACAGGCAAGAGATCGGTAAGGTTGTGGAGCGTTCGAGCCACACTGCTGAGCGCCGGCCCCCCACCCCCAGGGAGCTGGGGACTGTCCTCAGCCTCTCCTCTGACTGCCTGTGGGAAAGTAACAAGGAGAAACCGAAGGCCCGGGGAGAGCTGCCGACTCGCCCCGACCTCAGGGCCCGGCCGTCCTCTGGCGTCTTGTTTCTGCGGGTGCCGTCCTGGACTAGGCGGGACGCAGGGGAACCGACCCCAGGCATGTTTTCCTGTCCTGGCCTCGGAACAGCCTGATGGACTGGGACCCTCTTCTCCATTTTGTGCAGGGACAAGATGGAGCAGTGGGTGAGAGCAGAGACCTTCTGGAAGGGGCCACCCGGTTCAAATGGGAGAGGGGAAGAAGGATACGTAAGTTGGAGTCTTGCCGTCCCACCAGCCAGAAAGCTTATTTCCTCTTACGTGCATAGATGGGCCCGGTGCACATATGTTTTCATGTTTCAACAAACTGCAGTTTGTTTCGGAGCCGATTTGCTCACCCCCTTGGGGTGCGCCTCACTTTCTGCGTCTTCTTGGAGCAGTTCCACTGCATCTAGGACCTTCTGTGGGTTCCCCGGGGAGACACACGCATGCATGGTGGGGTGGGCCACATGTATGCACGGCAGGGACACGCGTGCATGCACGGCATGGGCAGCATGCTGAGTGGCCTGGCCTGGCGAAGGAAGATGATAGGGACTAACTGAGAACTAACTGACCGTGCACCTCAGCTTCTCGGAGATTCCCCGGAGGGGACTCCGGAACGTGGCCCTCCAGCAGCTGGGACAGGCTGCTTCTCCTTGCCTGCGGCCAGGAGAGTATGGCTGAGCAGCTCTCCATGTGTGGCCGAGGCTGGGAGGGCGCTTGGAAGGCAGCAGTGAGTTCAGGTCATGTGGATCGGTGCATACCGTCAGCCCAGCGAGCGTGCACCGGCCGCGTGGGGTCTCGGCCAGCACACAGCTGCCCCACCACCCCTGGCCACACACAAGCTGTGCCCTTTGCAAACAGACAGCGGCTGCGCTGTGCCACGAGGGGACAGGGGACCCAGATGGGCCTGTTCCTCACTGGCTCCCAGACGTGGAGGCAGTGTGTGAGGGTGTTGAGCTGCCACCGTTCCCACAGCCACGGCAACCTCCGTTCGCCCAGTTGCATTACTGCTCTGCAGTGGGCAGACTGGTGCGGCTACAGCAGGGATGCGCGGCAGAGGGGCGACAGCCCATCAACCCCTCTCAGAGAACCTCAAAGGGTGTCCTGTGTCTTCACCCAAATGAGCACTGAGAATCTGCTTTTCACAGACACATCTGTTAACCTGCTCCCCAAATTTAGTGTAACCCTAACGCCCTAGAAATGGTGACAGAGGGGAGAGATTTTTCCATCTATAAAGATTTGAATCAAAGTGTACGTTTGTTAACGTAGAAGAATTTTTTAAATCACTGCCCACAACTATAGGTGGTGGCAGGACCATATGCAAGGAAAATGAAAATAATTTTGTTCTCTAAGATGCCCATCTGGCATTCTTTTGGGGAAGTCAGTTTTGTTCTTAAAAAAAAAAAATAAACAGGGGTGGCAATGCTATGTCCATGTGTCTTCATGGTGGAGACGCTGATGGTGGTGAGGTTGTGCATGGAGGGATATAGGGGAAGTCTACTTTCTGCTTAAGTTTGCTGTGAACTTAAAACTGCCCTAAAAAATGAAGTCTATTTTTAAAAAAGACTTAAGTTATTTATTTGAGAGAGAGAGAGAGAGAGAGAGAGCTCATGTGCACACATGAGTAGGGGAAGGGGCAGAGAGAGAGGGCGAATCTCAAGTGGCCTTTGACTCGGGGTTCAACCTCACACCCCCAGGGCAGGGCCCGTCTCGGGCCTCGAACTCACAACCCTGAGATCATGACCTGAGCTGAAATCGAGAGTCGGATGCGTCACTGACTGAGCCACCCAGGTGTCCCCGAAAATAAAGTCTGTTTTTAAAAACTAGTTTAAAAAATAGACAAACGAGCCACATACTTTCTCAGGGCACTCCGTCCCAGGCGATACTCCTCGGATTCCCGGTAGTAGGTCTGCTTGCCAATCTCCCGTTCCCAGAAGCGCTTGAGCTCGTGACAGGTGTTCCGGCAGAAGATCTCCCGGCGGGCGTACTGACTGTTCATCCCCTGAAAAAGAAGGTATCAGTTGAGCCCCTTCAGCCTTGAGCTCCCTTAGACGCTGGGGGGTACAGGCTCTTTTTTTTTTTTTAAGATTTTATTTATTTATTCATGAGAAGCAGGAACACAGGCAGAGGGAGAAGCAGGCTCCATGCAGGGAGCCCGACATGGGACTCGATCCCAGGTCCCCAGGATCAGGCCCTGGGCTGCAGGCGGCACCAAACTGCTGAGCCACCCGGGCTGCCCGTATAGGCTGTTTTGAACCCAGTCCCTGCCATTTATTCGAGGGGGACCCCGGCCAGCCACAGAGCCTCAGCTGGGGGATGACAGCATGATCTGGCTGCTTGTCGTCAGGATACAGGGATGGGACTGCAGAAGCCCCAGTGGAGCGGGGCTTAGCACAGGCACCTGGCAAATACCTCTGACCTTGCGTCCTCCTCCCAGAAAAACGGGCCTTCTCAACTTTGAATCCCCAGGCAATGCATGCCAGGCATCTGATGTGCGGTCCATTGCGTTACCCCAGCATCCCCACGAGTGGGCATTACTTTCCTCATTTTGTGGGTGAGACGTGTGCTCAGCCAGGAGACTATGGCCGAGCAGCTCTCCACGTGTGGCCGGAAGTTACAGAACTTGCCCGTAACTCCCACGACTGCAGAAGGCAGGCCGCATGCTTCGGAATGTTTTCAAGCCCTGTGCTAAAGGGGTTTGTCACACAAAGTGGCCCCTGTGCCTGACACACCTGGAGTAGGTGGCTCGAAGGTGCATGCGTGTGTGCATGCACTTTTGTATGGGACTGTACGTGTCAGACACTCAAGGATGCTCGCTGATTTACACGAAGGAGCTCTGCCCAACTCCAGACCTCAGTGGGTGCAGCAGACAGGCCAGAAGCAGCAACTGGAGGGGCAAGGGGTGCAGAGAGAGGAGCGGTGGGCTATTGGAAATATCCGGGGAGAAGCTGTGACCGGGCAGCAGAGGCCAGGTTAATGGAAAGCGGACGGGTTCACAAGGCATCTTGGGGGTGGCCCACCCCCCCTGCCAAATGTGGGCGAGGGGTCCCCGCGGAGACTTCAATGCCTTTGCACAGATGGGAAACAGCAGAGGAGGGAGCTCCTTGGGCAGTGCTGGGCAGAGTCTGAGCTGCCCGGGTGCGACATCAGGGGGAGGTCCTGAAGGGGCGTCTGGACCCAGGGCCCGACACTCAGTGTGCAGGTCAGGACCACAGCTCTGTCACAGATACCGACGGGGGTTTCAAGCCAGATATTGGCTCTGGACCTGTTTGTCCATCCACTTGACACACCTTCTGCTTGTCAATAAATTCTCCAGGCCTCAGTTTTCTCAGCTGTGAAATTTCTCTGAAGATGAAATTTGATCACGAATGTGAAACTATCTAGCAATGTATAAATTTCTGAATAAATATAACTTGTGTAGTTCATAAACCTCAAATTGTACAGGGCTTAATACGATAATTAACGGTGAGGAATAATAACCCCCTCCAACTTTCTATAGAGATGAAGTAATTGCACTTCTCTTTCCTTCTGGATCAGTGGCTGTTGACCTTGGCTGCCCATTGGAATCTCTTGGGGAGCTTTGTGAAAACCTGACGCTGGGCTTCATCCCCAGGGGGTCTGATTTGAGCAGCCCACTGTGTGGCCTGGGCCTCAGGGTTTTTTTTTTTTAATATTTTATTTATTTATTCATGAGTGACAGAGAGAGAGAGGCAGAGACATAGGCAGTGGGAGAAGCAGGCTCCATGCAGGGAGCCTGATATGGGACTCGATCCCGAAACTCCGGGATCATGCCCTGGGCCAAAGGCAGCCACTCAACCACTGAGCCACCCAGGGATCCCGGCCTCAGGGTTTTTGAAAGCTCCCCCTGTGATTCCACCGTGTGGCCAAGGTGCAAACTGCAATCATGGACCGTGTCCTCCTGTGTGCTGGGTCCAGGAAGGCTGAGGTGATGAGGGCTGGGCACAAAGGCACAGAGATGTCACGGTCACAGCCATCTTGCAAAGTATGCACTTTCCTCCCCCATTTTGCAGGTAAGAAAACTGAGGCTTGGGAGTAGCAATTTGACTTTATCAAAGTCATTCAGGTGGTAAGTAGGACAGCTGTCATACTCATGACCCAGACTCTATCCCCTGCCCCTAACTGTTCCCTGTGGTGGAGAAGAGTGACTTTCTTACCTCCTGGATGTGCTCAGTGATCTCGTACTTTCCTGGCAAAAGAGCAGAGAGCTCATTGACTGCAGCAAGCCCCCCACCCCAGAGCAGAATTTTTCCGAAATGAGGATTTTTCCTGTTTTATTTCAATGTTGTAAGCATGCAGCAGTGCTCGATAAATACCTGTTGAGTGAATAAATGCCCCCCTCGGCCTCCCAGTTATCTTTATCCTGAAGGGCTGGCCTGGCAGTGGCGGTGGCATCGAGGGGAGGCGTGTAGGGACAGTGTGAGGGGCATTCCCATGTCACCTTGCCAGGCCACTGGCCCTGGTAGACCGGGACTGTGTGTATTGCTGTAGAACATGCTTCTCAAGGAGGGCAGAGGAAAGAACTCTCTGGATTCTGACAATTTTGAGTTCATATGAAGTTTCTGGCATTCAGAGGAGAGTCACTTTGGGGAGGCAAATGCTCATTAGGTTTTTTTTTATCCACAAAATTTGGAGGGCTTATTTTTACTCTGAAGGTTTTCATTTTTTTGTTTCATTTTTGTTTTTGTTTTTTTCTTATTTAGGAAAATAGAAGCCTGAGCCTGAACACGGACTGTGTACAATGTCAGGGAACTTTACAACTGTTCGCCCGGATGCACTAGCTGTGTTCAGGTCTGGGGGCTGCCAAAGCTACAGACTTGGGAGCCGGGTTCGGAGAATTGCTGAAAACAAGGGAGGCACCAAGCACATGATCACATCGATCACATCAAGGAGAGACCAGTGGAAGGCAGGCAGCAAGCTGTGGGAACCACTCATTCTCCGTCTGCTTCAGTCATTCTTTTGGGCTGAGCTTCTGGGACACCAGGCCAGGGGAGTCACCGCGAGCAGAGGAGGTTAAGGAAGACTCACAGACCCAACGCCACGGGCCAGGCGAGCCTCATAAGGGAGGGAAGCACCTGTGCCCCATAGCAAGCTGAGGGCTGAGACCACTACAGAGTCCGTTCACATTCTACCCATGAGCATCAGAATGCTTTGTCTTGGACCCTGTTGGCCCCTGGAAAGAAGAGTTTGGGCCACACTGGGCCCGTTTGCAGCCACGAATGTAATGTACCCTATACCCCTCTTACAGGTGTATTCCCACCCCGTGCCCCAGGGCTGGCCCCCAAACCGTCTGTAGATAGCCCACCTGTGCTCTCCAGATGTCCTCAGGGTGCCCTGCGCTCTCCAGCTCTCTCTTCTTTTGCTACAGAGAGCCTCAGAGTCTCTCAGGGCCTCTCCCTTCCCCAAGCCACACTCTGTTCCTGGTTTGCCGCTCTTCCGCCATCCTGTCCTGGCAGCTCCTGGAATCGGCTATTCGTGAAATCTCATCTTGCCTGTAGCAGGTGTGCAGGTGCACCTGTCCTGCTTGCTTAACGCAGTGTGATCCCTGCTCACCCCCGGGGCCCAGATTCACATCCAACAAGCAAATGGGCACCCTGCCGGGGTCACCCCAGAGCTTCGGGATTCTCTTTATGTGTTTTGCACCTCAGTTTTGTCGTCTGTGAAATGGGATTGTGATGAAGATTAAATCAGATCATGTTCAAGACAATGCCTAACACAAATGTGTCAAGCGTCACGCTGTGTGCTGGGCTCTGGCGAACCCAGTCCTGGCTCTCTGACTCTGATTTTCTCAGACTGTTGTCTGAACAAGCACATCATTAGCCACAGCTAATAGAGTATAATTGACAACCCCAAATTAAGTGTCACTTTTCCTTATTTGTACATAATTTGAATGTTTGGCTTCTTGAGTATGTGGTTGAGATTCATTTAGCTTTGTCCTGGTCTTCTGGGCACTACTTAGGAACACTTAGATAACAAGGCAGAAGTGTTTCAGGTTTTCAGATTGGACAAATGTTCCATATAGGATGATGCTCAGTGGAGCACTTGATAAAAACTTCTGACTGGTGTCATTTTTTTTTTAAGATAGATTTATTTATTTTAGAGAGGGAGAGAAAGCACAAGTGGAAGGGGCAGAGGCAGAAGCAGAGGGAGATAGAATCTCAAGCAGATGCTGCACTGAGCCTGGAGCCCGATGCAGGGCTCTATCCCACCACCCATGAGATCGGGACCTGAGCCGAAACTGAGAGTCGGATGCTGAACCAACTGCACCATCCAGGTGCCCCTGATTGGTGTCATTCTTATTTCCTTTCGCCTCTGATACATCAGAGATGAGCCTCACCGTGACCATTCATTGGAAGGTGCCCCACTTGTGTAAGAAGGAAGATGCCTGTTTTCCCAAGGAAGAGGGGGGGGGTCCCACTGGTTTCACCCCCATGATTGGCATCCACCTCCACTTTTTTTTTTTTTTTTGGTTTTTAAAGCTTTTATTTATTCATGAGAAACACACAGAGAGGCAGAGACATAGGTAGAGGGAGAAGCAGGCTTCCTGTGGGGAGCCCGATGCAGGACTTATTCCAAGGACTCTGGGATCAGGACCTGGGCCAAAGGCAGACGCTCAACCACTGAGCCTCCCAGGTGCCCCTCCAGCTCCACTTCTATCTCTGCCGTGTTATTTCATAACCTAACTAGCTGTTTTTTTATTTTTTATTTTTATTCTTTTTTAATTTATGATAGTCACAGAGAGAGAGAGAGAGAGAGAGAGAGAGAGAGAGAGGCAGAGACACAGGCAGAGGGAGAAGCAGGCTCCATGCACCGGGAGCCCGACGTGGGATTTGATCCCGGATCTCCAGGATCGCGCCCTGGACCAAAGGCAGGTGCCAAACCGCTGCGCCACCCAGGGATCCCTAACTAGCTGTTTTGCTGGAAAATACCGGTGGCACAATGGTGAAAAGAAGCAAGATCTGCTCTAAGAAAAAAATGTATTTTGCTGTTA